CCTAGGCGTAGACCAACATCTCACATCCTATACCAAGATAAGGTTGAAATGGGTACATGATTTAGACGTAAGGGATGATACCATAAACAAATTAGGAGACTAAGGAATATTTTACCTGTTAGAGATAAGAGAACATTATGAAATGTAAAATGGATAATTTTGATTACTTTAAATTAAAAAGGTTTTGCACACACAGAACCAATGCAACCAAGATTAGAAGGAAAGCCAAAAGCTGAGAAACAATTTTTACAACCAGTGTCTCTGATAAAGGCCTCATTTCTAAAATATATAGAGAACTGAATCAAATTTATAAGAATACAAGTCATTCCTCAATTGATAAATGGTCAAAGGATATGAACAGGGAGTTTTCTGATAAAGAAATTAAAGCTGTCTATAGTCATATGATAAAAATGCTCTAAACCAGTATTGATTAGAGAAATGCAAATTAAAACCACTCTGAGATAAGACATCACATCTTTCAGATTGGCTAACATGACAAAGCAGGAAAATAATAAATGTTGGAGAAGATGTGGGAAAATTGAAACACTAGTGCATTGTTGGTGGAGTTGTGAGCTGATCAAACCATTCTGGAGAGCAATTTGGAACTCTGTCCAAAGGACTATCAAACTGCATACCCTTTGATCTAGCAATACCACTACTAGATTTCCCAAAGAAATCATGAAAAAGGGGAAAGGACCTACATGTACAAAATATATTTATATCAGCTCTTTTTGTGGTGGCAAAGAATTGGAAATTGAGGGAATGCCCATCAGCTGGGAAATGGCTGAACAAGTTGTGGTGTATCAATGTAATGGAATACTATTGTGCTATAAGAAATGATGAGCAGGCAGATTTCAGAAAAACCTGGAAAGACTTACATGAACTGATGCTGAGTGAAGTGAGCAGAACCAGGTGAACAGCAACAGCTTAACTAGATTAACTGTGATAGACTTAGCTCTTCTCAGCAATACAGTGATCTGAGACAATTCCAAAGGCTTGTGATGGAAAATGCTAACCACATCCAAAAAAAGAACTATGGAGTCTGAATGCAGATTGAAGCATACTGTTTTCACTTTTTTTGTTTTTTCTTTCTCGTGATTTTTCTCTTTTGTTCTTACTCTTCTTTTGCAACATGACTAATATGTTTAACATGATTGTACATGTATAACCTATATCAAATTGCTGTCTTTGGGAAAGGGGTAAAGAGGGAGGGGAAAAAATTTGGAACTCAAAATTTTACAAAAATGAATGTTGAAAACTATCTTTACATGTAATTGGAAAAAATTAAATACTATTAAGGAAAAAAATAAAATAAAGTAAAACCTATAATTCTACAATTATCAGTTTCTAATGGTATTAGACCAGGTTGCCTCTAAAATCTCTTTGATCCTAACCAGTTAACATCCGTTAAATCAAGCACTTTTTTTCTGCTTTACTTGAAAAAGTTTGTTTTTATCTAGAACTTTAAGAGGCCCGTAACTATGTAGAGCCCACTTTATTTGCATGATCCTCCACAAATATTTCAAGATTAGAAGTAATTGAGAAATTCATGTTGATCTTATATGGATTTATTAAATATGAAAGACATTTGAATATTTCTGTGATGAACTTGATCACTTTTGAAACTAAATACATCAAAATATATCTTCCATCACTAATAATTTATTTGGACATTTGTTGATAGTGTTTACATTATGAAGAAAGGAAGAATGAGACAGTAGGAGACTTTTGAAGGATCAGGAAAGCAGGAAAGGATCAGGGGTAGGGAGGAAAGGAGAGACAAGCAACTTTTTGCCTAAAAAAAATGGTAGTTTGCATTGAGTTTTTTGAGCCAAAGAATAGGTTGACTAATGGATAAAAATCTCTACTATTAAATTCAAATCTGCTTGCCTTTATTTATTCTTTAACCCCACAAAAAATGGAAATAATGGCATAAAGAGGCAAAAAGAGAATGTTCAGTTGCATGTTCAAGTAATGCAATTGTAACATATAGCTGCTATGGTCATTAATTCACCATGAGCCAGATAAACCCAGCCTCAGCTTTTTTCTCTGATGCTGAGAAAATTGCATCTGCCAACATGTGTTTATACAAATATTTGTCAATGTCAGCAACCTAAAACTAAACAGCTAGATTCAAGAACCTCATGTGGATTTTGGATGATTCTTGCTAGGGTTTGATTTCATAAAAATTAACAAATGTAAACTTGTGGCACAGCTCTGTTTCCATTTGTCGTTCTGTTCATAGGAAAGCTACTTGTTATGATAAGTAACTAAAACTGTTGTTAAGAATTGGTCAAATTGATATGATAAATCTAAATGATAAACTCTTGGTGGCAGTGTGGTATTTTTGTCTTTCAAAAAGACCCTAATACTTGTGTGTGGTGAAATGTAGTTTGTCGTGAAAAGGCCTGACAGATTTCATTTGGGATGATTGAAGAGAAATATTTTATATTAATTTTTGCCATCTAACCCAGAAATTAATATTCATTGGGTCTCTTATATCTATTGGGTGAGTTGGATTGTAGAATGAAAAACAGGTGACATCTTTCTCACTGTAGAAGAAGCAGTGGCTTGTTGAGCAGCAGAGACATCTGCAGTATAGTGGAAATAGCTGGATTTGGAGTTGGGAGACCTGAGTTTAAATCTCATTTTTGCCCCTTCCACTAGCCATGTGGTCTTAGACAAGTTGTTTTTCTTATCTGAACTTTACATCTGCAGCTGTCTTTTAGACATCTTTTTTTTTTCTTTTTTGGTGAGGCAGTTGGGGTTAAGTGACTTGCCCAGAGTCACACAGCTAGTAAGTGTTATGTGTCTGAGGCTGGATTTGAGCTCAGGTCCTTTCAGACATCTTGAAGTATATGTCCAGTAGACATATTAAACTCAGTATATCCCAAACAGAACTCATTATCTTTTCCCCTAAACCTTCCCCGCATCCTAACTTCCCTATTACAGTTGAGGCCAACACCATCCATCAGTCCCTCAGGTTCACAATCTAAATGTCGTCCTAGATTCTGTAGTATCTCTCACCACTCCCACATCCAGTCTGTTTCCAAGGCCTTTTATCTCTGTAATATCTCTGAGTATACCCCCTTCTCACTTCTGACACTGCAGTAGCTCTAGCCGGCTGGGGGGTCTGCCTGACTCAAGTCTCTCCCTACTCCAGTCCATTCTCCATTCATCCAGTAAAGTGATTTTCCTAAAGTTCAGGTCTCATTATGTCACACACACACACACACACACACACACACACATACACACACACACACACACACACACACACACACACACACACACACACACACACCCCTCCCACTCCTCAATAAACTCCAGCATCTTCTTATTGCCTCCAGAGTCAAATATAAAACCCTTCTGTTTGGCATTCAAAGCCTTTTAAAAACTGAGCCCCTCCCATTTTTCCAACCTCCTTCAACCTTACCACCGTGGTGACATGGTTTTTGATCCAGTGACAATGGCCTCCTTGCTCTTATGCAAAAAGGACACTCCATCTTGTGGATCTCCACATTGTTCTGGCTGTCCCCCATGCCTGATACACTCTCCCACCTTATCTCTACCTACTGTGTTCTTTAAGTCCCAACTAAATCCTGTCTTCTGCAGGAAACCTTTCCCAAACCCTCTTAATTCTTCCCTCTTTTGATTATTTTTTTAATTATATAACTTGATCTGTATATATTTATTTGCAAGTTGTCTTCCCTGTTAGATTGTAAGTTCCTTGAGGGTAGGAACTCTCTTTGACTTCTTTTTGCATTCCCAGCACTTAAGCATAGTGCCTGGAACAAAGTAGACTCCTAGTGAATGCTTATTGACTGACTGTCACAATCCATCTTCTACACACTTGCCAAAATGACTTTCTTCAAGCACGGATCTGAGATGTCACTCTCCTGCTCAATAAATTGCAGTGTGATACTCTTTTGCCTTTAGAAGCAGATATACAAGCTCGTTTGTTTGGCATTGAAAGGCCTTCACAATCTGGGACCAGCCTACCTTTGCAGGCTGGTGCCATATGGACTCTCTTCTTCATTCATGCTTTGGTTCTGCCCAGCTGGCCTTCTTGGTCCTTACAGCACTTTAGGGCCTTGACACAAGCTGACTCCCATGTCTGAGATGCCTTCCCATTTCACCTTCTCCTCTGAGAATTCTCTGTTTTCTGCAGAACTCAATTTAAATTCCACTCCTGATCAGTCTCCCCATAAAAATTACTCTGTATTTGTATGTTTTGTATATACTCTTATATACATGTCTCTGTAACAACAACAATAATTACCCAGCATTTAAGGCAGAGAGCTTTATCAGCATCTTCTCATTTGAACCTCACAACAACCCTGTGAGATTAGTGCTTGCATTATTACCCTCTCTTACAGATGATGAAATGAGGATCAGAGAGGTCAAATGATTTGCACAGTCATGTAGTTAGATCATGTCAGAGGTGTGACTTCGACCCTGTTTTCACTTCATGTCATATAAACGCTTTTGAAGGAGGGACTTTTCGTTTCTGTTTTTCTGTCCCTAGCACAATATCTGGACTATAGTAGGCACTTAATAAATACTTGTTGATTGATTAATTCAGTGGCCCTCACTTCAAATAAATTTTCATTTATGGTTTAGAAATGTCATTGAGAACTATTTAATTATGTCTGATAGGAGAATATTAGCCTGATTTATCTACTAAATTTGAAGTCAAACATTTAACATTTCAAACTAGATGAAATCCTTTTGAGTAACATATCTTTCCTTGGGCTAAAATAAATTAACTTTTTTTCCTTTTACAGTGTCATCCAGTCTTCAGATTGTCATCCTTGTTTTATTCAGTTTAGATTGTGAAAATTAGAATACTCTAACAACATTACGTAGTTGTGAGTTGGTTAGTTTCTTTTTACTTATACTTTTTTTCTTGTCTTAGAGCCTTTGAAGCAAATATGATAATTACTGTTTTGCAACTAGAGGTTACAATTTTGCTTTTGTTTATGTTATTTAATTTATAGGGATTTGAAGCCAGAAAACATTCTCCTGGATGATCGTGGTAAGTGATGGCATGCCTTCAACCTATAAACAATTACATTCATTAACAGGATCCTGATTTGCATCTTTTTAGACTATTAAAACGTAATAGATGTGGTGAGTGTAGTCCAGTCACTGCTCCAGCTCTGTAGTGATGAAGCATGCTTTAGAGAGATGGGGGACTAGAGGTGTAGAATGAGACATACATTTTCAGACACCACCAACTGTGGCAAGAAAGAACTTTTATTTTTTAGATGTAGTGTTATGGGGGGAATGGGGATTAGTGATACAGATGAAAAAGGAAAAAAATGAACTGAAACCCAAAAGAGATCAGAAAGAGACACATACAAATAGGGCAGTTAGTATTACCATCTTAAATTTAATATATACTTTTTGAGAGGAAACCTTGTTTCATATACCGATTTCTTTTTCTATTGTTCTTTGTATATGAAAATCTTTGTGTATGAAAGTTGGGGGAAAGGCAAAGATTAGATGTAACTTCTAATTAGAACATTAGAACATTTGCCAAAATCCTTTCAGTGATTCGAAAATTAATCACACACCCCCTCCCCATCCCGCTATGAAAAGGACAGAAAAGGGAAGTAATTAAGGATCACAACTGGAGAAGAGGAGAAATATTAACTGTTGCTGCACAATCTTGTAGCTCTGAAGCCTCTTGCTTTGTTATATCCTGTCTCCTCCCTTGTCCCCCACCCTTCTAACACTGACCAGTATCTGTGCTTGCCTGAGCTGTACAGGTGGGGTTGTTAAGGCTCTTTCCCGATGTTTCTACTGCCATGTTGGCCTGGGCCCTTGCCTATAGGGCATGGTTCATCAACCAGTACAGATAGCTCTTAGGGGGTGTACCCTCAATAGAATGTGGGCCCTCCTGTATGTTGGGTGGATAAGCCCAACTTGAGTGGAGGGTCCTTCATAGTCACCCATGCAGCCAGAGTGCAGTGGAGGCCTGAGGGAGTGTCCTTCCTAAAACATGACACATAGAACTGAACAAAAGCACTGACTCCAGAGCCAGAGGACCTATCTTAAAATCCGCACTCTGGTGCTTTCTATCTTTGTGTCTTTGGACAAGGCACTCGAGCTCTCTGGCCCCCAGCTTCCTCATCTGTGAAACAGGGAGGCTGGACGAGACAGATAGCCTGCCTCTGAGATCCCTTCCAGCTCTAGACTGATGTGTTCCTGTGATACAGGGCTCCTATTGCAGGTATCCGATCAGGACAAAATATAATGGGATTGTCACCTGCTAATTCCTCTCTCAGTGCAATGTGAGTTCCTCTTCCGCTTTCTTGGCTGCCATAGCAGACTCTTGTCTCACTGAGCTTGCTATCCACCAAAAACCCCAGATCATTCTAAGGCTAATTTCTGTCAGGCCGTGTCTCCCCTACCTTGTACTTGTGAAAGTGATTTTAGCTCACGTGTAAGACTTCTAAGACTGTAAAGGCATCTTATTAGATTCTGCCCAGTGTTGTAGCCTCCATTATGTTCTTTAGTTCTCCTTCCTGGCTGTGTATCATCTGCACAATTGATAAGCATTCCATCTCTTCCTTTGGTTATTTCAGATCCCACCTCTGCTGAACTACACAGGGAACATTGGGCAGATCACTTCATTTTCTTTGCTTAAGAGTTAATCTTCTTACTTTATATGTGCAGATGCCAATAAATTCTAGAATTTATTTCCTTTCATAGGAACCATGCTGGTGATATAGAAAGGTTTACTTAAGAGTCAAGAATACATTCTCTCTAATATATTAAACTATCAATTAGGATATCTACAGAAGGACTTAAGAAAATTTGACAGAGTTTCAAAATGCAGCAGCCTATTACCAATTAGAAACTGACAATAATAAGAAAGAGTTATACCATAGAAATCTCTTACTCCAGCTTCATACATTAGCCACTGGTATAGTCTTAGTCATATTTAATATAAATAAATAAAATGCCATTCCAGATTCCCTTTTCACTCATCCTTCAAAAGATAATCCTCTGTCATAATTACTTTCATATTTCTGTATTGTGTGTAATCCATTTGCACTTATTTACCAAAGGGGTTAATTTATCAACCATATTACCAATAAGCTGAACACTTTTTTACGCCCCTGTAACCTACTCGTCTTCTGTCAGTGAGAAAATAAATACTGTGTTTTGGTTTCTTGAAGTGTTTGTATGCCTGGGTCGTGATGGATAAATGGCCAGCCATAATTTCATTTCTTGTTGGTGATGAAAATGAATTGATGATATTTTTGGTAAATGTCAAGATGGTAATGTGATCATTTAAAGTAAATGTTTCAGAATGTGAATCAGTTTCAATGGTTTTAAGACAAAGCTTTGATTCATGATTCTTATTTTCAGTGTTGATGTTTTAGTTTCATTTGCTTTTACATTTTTTTTTAACATGAATAGGACATATCCGCATCTCAGATCTTGGGCTAGCTATGCAGATCCCAGAAGGAGAAACAATCCGAGGAAGAGTTGGAACAGTTGGCTATATGGGTATGTGATATGTTTGTAATTCTTTAAATTGCTTTCACATAACATTCTCTGTGAACAAAGACTGTTTCTTTGTGTCCCTAAAGATTAGCACAGTGCGTAGCACATAGTAAATGCTTGTTAATTGATTGATTGGCAGGGTAGGCGGAGAGGCAGTAAATAGCATGTGCAAGTCTACTCAAACCACTGATACCACCTTGACCATCACTTCTTCTCAGACTATGATGTAGATAGCCACAGGGCCTTGAGTCTAAGAGCCCCAGGAATAGCATTGCCTAGACCAGCAACCCTGCTTCCAGGCCTCACAGCCATCACTGAGGGGTGCAAGCCCTCTGAAGAAGGGGCCCTGCTGTCCTCCCCCCCACCAAAATCACCTGCTGAACAACGGCCACCAACAGGCAGGGACCACCTCCTCAGCACGCCCGGGGGTTTAAGACCCAGAAGGGAAAGTTCTAGACGGACCAGAAGCCTTGGCCCTGTCAAATATTTCACCATCAGAAATGGATGTAGTTTTGTCAATGTAAATAATGTTAAAGAAGATGAATTATTATCTGCTTTGACACCATACACTAAACACCAAGGTACCTTTCCATTTTACATACAGCCAAAGCTTCCTGTAGGTATAGTCTCCTCCTATGTGTGAATGTGACCTCCCTGAAAGGAGGGGCTAACCCTAATGTTCTGTTATATCCACACTGTTTAGCACATTGTTTTGCACAGAGTGAGTATCTGTTAAATGCTTTTTTCATTCATTCATTCATTGATGGCTTCAGAAGAGTTTCAAAAGGCAGAATTATCAGATTTGACTATTGGAAGGGACCTTAGCAGCCATCTGGTCCCTATGTGATAGGAATCTTCATTTTAGCATACTAACAAGTGGTCATCCAAACCCTGCCTGAAGACCTCAAAGGAGAAAGCAGCGACCGCCAGTCAAGGCAGTCCAGTTCACTTTTGTACACTTCTTATTGTTAGGACGTTGTTCCTGACCTCTGTCCTAAATGAGGCACTTTGAGCTGCTGCCCATTGCTCTTGGTTCTGCCTCTGGGACCCCAGAGAACAGTTCTGATCCTTCTATGCGACAGGCCTTCAAATACATGAAGTCAGCTGTCATGTTCCTCACTGCCATAAGTCTTCTCTTCTCCAGGCTAAATGTGCCCAGTTCATTCAATGGATTATTATATGACATGGACTCAATGTGTTTCTGCATCCTGATTGTCCTTTGAATACTGTCCAGCCAGAGAATCCTTTTCTCCTGGAAGTTCACTGCCCCTCTAGATCTCTTACACTGGAAGTGTCTTCCACCTTGCATCTTCTTCCTTTGGTTGTCTGATTCCTTCCAGAACCTCCGTTCTGGCTAGGAAGATGTCCTAGCCAGCCATGACTTCATTCTTTTCCAGGCCTTGCTCATGACTCTCTGGACTTCTTTTCCTGTCCCCCCCAAATGGCTTATTCTCCCTCTGCCTTCAACTTTCTTTTGTGTTCCTTCTCCCTTTTAAATATAAGCTCCTTGAGAGTAAGGGCTGTTTTTCTTTATGATGATATTTGTGTGCCCAGTGCTTAGCACGTAGCAAGTGCTTAATGAACGCTTGTTGACTTGTTGACTTTTTAAACTGTGGTTCCCAGACTAAACATAATAACACAGATGTGGTCTGATGGGGCCAGCATTCAACATAGTGCAACTATCACTTCACTATTCCTGGAAATTACACTTTCTCTTAATGCAATCCAAGATCCCATTAGCTTTTTTAGTTAGCCCCTCACATAGCTGACTAAGATTTAGTTTACAGTTCACTACAACTATATCTAGCCATGTCTCTGCTGTTTGTGAAGTTGATTTTTTTGTGTTTACGTGTATCTCTTTTTAATGTTATCTTATGAAATTTAGTCCTTTTAGATCCTCAATGTGTTATCCAGTGTGTTAGCCATCTCCCACAACTTGATGTCATTTGCTGATTTGATGATCATGCTATCTGTGCTTCTTTCCAAGTAGTTGATAAAAATGTTAAAACAGGGGCAACTAGGTGGTGCAGTAGATAGAGCTCCAGCCTTGGAGTCAGGAGGACCTGAGTTCAAATCCAATCTCAGACACTTGACACTTACTAGCTGTGTGACCCTGGGCAAGTCACTTAACCCCAATTGCCTCACCAAAAAAAAAAAATGTCAAAACAGTTTCCCCCCGGGTGTTCCACTAGGGACCCCTAGCCCCATCAACACTGAACTGTTTTGCAGCCCATCTTTGAGTCCAACTAGTTCTGAACCCATCTCACTATGTTCTCATCTAATCCCTATCTCTCCATCTTCTCCAGAAGAATCAAATGAGATGGGGTTGTTGGGTTTTTTTTTTCCAGAAGCTTTTCTAAAATTTAGGTGAACTATATCCCTGTCATTCCCTTGATATATAGGATCCACAGTTTTGATTCCTCACACAAGGAAATGGAGATATTTACAGTTAGAGTAGAATAAAGATTACTTTTAAGTCCTCCAGAGCCCCTCACTATATACAGCCTTCTAACCACTTTAAAGTTTCATGAATTTGGAAGTGATAATCTTTTAAGTCCAACAGAAAGTAAAAATTACCTTATATCTGTATTAAGTACATGTTAGATGACTAGAGTTAATTAATAGGAGTTTTCAGTGCATGAAAATTTGAATGTCACAAAGCCCTGTGAACGAGGGCCAGAAGTCCCATTCTCATCAGGAGAGTACACTTCTCATTTTGCTGCTTCTTCTGGCTATCTATCAGTAGTTTTGACTGGGCTAGATGATGGTGAGCAAGCTGATAGTCATTTAACAAGCATTTATAAAACACTCGGGTGTCCAGCATTGTGCTAAGTGTAAAAAAAAATGGGACGTTATTGAGAGTCAGAACCGGAGAAGGAGATACACATGCACAATCCTACATTTTGCCTGGAACATCCTAGTATCAGATGTTTAGTCATTCCAGGTTGGTTTCATGTTCTTTGAATATTAAAAATATAAAGTTCTGGTTTTTTTATTTGGAATTCCTTGAATAACATTCTATAATGCCTCACTGTGGCTTGGAGGTATAACCTTTGGTGCTTGGGGGTAAGCTTTTAGCATGTTTATCCTACCAATCTGGAAAGTTTTCAAGAACAGTTCTAGTAATAGACTGTATGGATGTCATTTAAAGACAAGTTTAATTAAGTCCAGAAAGGGTCATTATCCAAGTTAGCTGCACAGTAATGAATTTGAGATTCACTGGAACTTTCCAAAACTGTCCACAAAATTGTAAAGGGATTGCCCCTGCTTTGGTGAAGGGAATATCCACATAGAAGAAAACACAAATCCTTTTAAATATTGAAATATTTTGAATTAGTTATAAGATAATCTTATGTGTTATTTTAATTAAAACTTTTTTTCTGTTTCTTTTATGCAGCTCCAGAAGTTATCAATAATGAAAACTATACATTTAGTCCTGATTGGTGGGGACTCGGCTGCCTAATTTATGAAATGATTCAGGGACAATCACCATTCAGAAAACGCAAAGAGAAAGTCAAACGTGAGGAGGTAGACCGCAGAGTGAAGGAAGACCAAGAAGTGTACTCCGAGAAGTTTTCAGAGGAGGCGCAGTCTATCTGCAGGATGGTGGGTGAAGATATATAGAGGTTTGGAAAATAAATTTCTAATACATTTTAAAGCATTGTAATTATAGTAGTTTTCTTTTTTAAAATTCAGTTGTATTTTTTCAGTTCCAAATTCTCTCCCCCTCCGCCTTCTCCACTCATTGAGAAGGCAAGAAAAACAAAACCCATTGCAATTATATATAGGCATGCACAATAATTCCCGCATTAGCCATGTCAAAAAAAAAATGGAAAGAAGGAAAAGAAAATGTGCTCTGATCTGTTCCTCTCTCTATGAGTATGGGTAGTATGTTTTATCCTGAGTCCTTTGGAACTGTGGTTGGTCATTGTGTACATCAGAGTTTCAAAGTCTTTTAGAATTAATTGTCCTTACAGTATTGTTATTATTGTACTAAGTGCTTTCCTGCTTCTCCTTACTTCATTCTGCATCAGTTCATACAAGTCTTCCCAGGTCTTTCTGAAACCATCCCCTTCATTCTTATAACACAATAGTTTTCCATCACAGTCATGTACTATAATTTGTGCAGCCATTCTCCATTTGAGGAACATTCCCTCAGTTTCCAATTCTTTGCCACCACAAAAACCGCTGGTATACATATTTTTGTACAAATGAGTCCTTTTCCTCTTTCTTTGATCTTTTGGGGTATCAATCCAGTGATGATATTGCTGGGCCAGAGAGTATGTACAGTTTAATAATTTTTTGGCCGTAGTTCCAAATTGCCCTCCTGAATGGTTGGACCAGTTCATAACTCCAGTAACAATGCATTAGAATCTGTTTTCCCACAGCTCCTCTAGCATTCATCATTTCCCTTTTTTTATCAACTTAGCCAATCTCAAGAGTGTGAGTTGGTACCTCAGAGTTGTTTTAGTTTGCATTTCTCTAATTACTACTGATTTAGAGCATCTTTTTTAATTTGACTATTGATAGCTTGGATTTTTTTCTTAAAACTGACTGTTCTTATTCTTTACCATCTATCAGAGAATGGCTCTTCATATAATTTTGACTCAAACATATTTTTGTATCTTAAAAAGGAAACCTTTATCAGAGAAACTTGCTACAAAGACTTTTCCCCTCAGTTTCTTTTTCCCTTCTAATTTTTGCTGCATTGGTTTTGTTTGTGCAGAAACTTTTAAAAATTTTTTGTAGTTAAAATCACCTGTTTTACCTCCTATGAGCCTTTCTGTCTTTTTGTTTGGTCATAAACTCTTCTCTTATCCATAGAGCCAACAAGTAATTTCTTTCATTTTCCTTTAATTTGCTTGTTATGTCATCCTTTATGTCTAAATCATGTATCCGTTTGGAACTTAATCCTGGTATACAGTGTGAGATACTGCTGTACACCTAGTTTCTACCTAACTGTATGCTTGTTTCCGAAACAGGTTTTGTCAAATAATGAGTTCTTGCTCCAGCAGCTGGGTTCTTTGGGTTTATCAGACACTAGGTTACTATGCTCGTTTGCTTCTCCAAATACTGTGTACCTAATACCTAATCTCTTATAATGATAAACTTCTCTCTTTCTTACTCAGTACTCAGTATCAAATTGTTTTCACAATTATAATTTTATAGTGTAGTTTGAGATCAGGTGCTAGTAGACCTCCTTCCTACACATTTTTTTCATTGATTCCCTTGATTTTTTTTACTTTTGGTTCCTCCAGATGAATTTGATTGTGTTTTCTAGCTCTGTAAAGTAGTCCTTTGTTTTATATGGCACTGAATAAGTAAATTAATTTAGTTTTGCCATATATAGATAGATAGATGGATAGATATAGATATAGATGTGTGTGTGTGTGTGTGTGTGTGTGTGTGTGTATTGGCTTAGCCTACCCGTGAACAATTATATTTCTCCAGTTACTTAAGTCTGTCTTTATTTGTATAAATATTGTTTTGTAATTGTATTCATAAAATTCCTGTGTTTGTCTTGGCAGGTAGACACCCATGTATTTTATACTATCTGTAGTTATTTTAAATGGAATTTCTCTTTCTGTCTCTTCCTACTGTGTTTTCTTCATAATATACAGAAGTGTAGATGATTTGTATGGGTTTATTTTATATCTTGCAACTTTGCTGAAGTGCCCAATTGTTGTGATTATTTTTTTATTTGACTGTCTTGCATACTCTAAGTAAATTATTATGTCACCTGCAGAAAGTGATGGTTTTTCTTCCTCTCTGCCTATGCTTTTTCCTTTTGTTTCTTGTTCTTGTCTTATTGCTATAAGCATTTCTAATTCAATATTGAATAGTGGGAATAATAATGGACTTTATTGCTTTACTCCTTATTCTACTGGAAAGGCTTCTAGCTTGTCCCTACTACAGATAATGCTGGCCCTTGATTTTAAATAGCTAATACTTATAATTTATATAGAAGTTTTCATTAACATATATTTTCAGGGTAAATACTTAAATATAAATAACTAATCATTCAGATATTCGCTCTGTGTGGGGCTCCACAATTGAGGAAGGAAAATATGCTTGAGACAGTTGACCTTTTAGAAGAAAGGCCAAGTGTCAAAACCAAGTAAGCTGAAGTTCAAACAGTAAAAAGTATCAAATGAAGAGGTTTGACTCAATGATTTCTAATGTTCCTTCCTGTTGTAATGTTCTAAGATTCTTTGACTTTCCCAAGAATTCAAACCCAGATCTTACTTTTTCCGTTGCTTTTCTGTAACATTTTAAAGAATAAGCAAAAACTGATTTCATCACAGTCATAACAATGTTAGAGCTGGAATGAGTCTTACATAGATGAGAAAACTAAGGGTAACATAAGTAAGATATTGGCTCCAGGTCACATGTGTAGTAATTGACAGAGCTGGAACGTGAAGCCAGACTTTCATGACATTATTTGCCAAGGTTCTTCCTAATACAACATATTAACAAAAGAAGCAATAGAAGTATAATCCTCTAAGCAAACTTTATTTTTTAAAGGAAATAAATTTATTTTTATAAGCATTTATTATCTCTACTTACTACTATGTCTTCTCTATTGAACAATTAAAAAAAAAAGAGCAAACCCTCAACAAATATACACAGTCCAGCAAAACAGATTCTCACATTAGTCATGTCCAAATAGATATGTATCATTTTTTCATTCTTAAGTCCATCACTTCTCTGATAAGAGGTGGGTAGAATATTTCATCTTCAGTCCTAAGAGCTCATGATTTATCATTGAATTGATCAGTGTCCTAAAGTCTTTCAAAGTTGTTTATTTGTATAAATTGTTCTTCTTGTTCTGCTTGCTTCATTCTACATTATTTCCTAGAGATCTTCCCAATTTCTTCTAAAGCTATCCATTTCCCATCTCTTATCGTGTAATAACATTCCATTACATTCATATACCATAATTTGTTTGGCCATTCTCTCTTAGTAAATTTGTAACAATTTTGGTTACTGCCTGTAGAAAAAATATAATTCACATGAAATTAAATGTGAAACATATAACAGAGACTGGCAATACTATGATTTTTCTCTGTCTCCCAACGAGCATACCCAAGGAGTAATAAATGAAATGAGTAATATTTATTACTTGCTCTTTGTCCTGTCCTATAACACAAAGTAGGCCGGGCATTGTCTCTATAACTCAGTGTTTTTGAGGACCGTCATTCTAAAAGGGCAAAAGAGACCAGTCCAAATTCAAGGCATCATTTTCCAGACTAGAAGTAGACATGTGAATATGATGGTCCCAAGGCATGATCCAAATATGAAATCAAAGTTTCATCAAACAAAATGAAGCTCAAATGGGAGAGAAACAGTTTGAGATGAAGAAATCAAAGAATATTCAAAATCAAGGCAAAAATTCAAGATCATTTCTAGGCATAGCAAAGTGGGAAAGAAATGAGGAAGGAGTCATATTAGGAAGAGTGGCAGTGACAATGTAATAAGTAAGGGGCAATTTTTGTAATAGAGGTATAGGAGGAAGAAAACTCCCAGTAGAGAGTACCAAGATTCACTAATGCCCACCCAAACTGAAGCTTATCAAGAGGAGGCTGGCTCAGACAGCTCCTCTCACAAGATTAATTCTGCCCAGGTTCCAGTTGGCTTCAAGGACTTATTTATCATGGGTATAGCAATGTATAAATTATTACATATGCTTATATGTTCACCTCCTCATAGGAAACTTCAATTTGCCCAAGGGGTATGATTCTAGATTCTAATACATCTCTCTAGTGGGAAATCCAAAGAAACTCTGGGTCCATTTCTCAGATCACACTTGAAAAGGGGCTAATATTTCCTTCCCTGTAAAAAAGGTAAAAAAAAAACCTGCCCCAAAATCTCTGTCCTTGATATTATTGTCATACAAAGATGTAGGCAGTTTCCCCATCTTTTTTTTTTTTTGTATTAATCAGATACATGGGCCAACATAGAATTCAAGGGGATACACTCAGGATATTAATAATATGAGTAAACACTGGCTACTTTTAACTAGAGAGAGAGAGAGATTGATTTTACCCTATATCTCTTCCTTTAACCAAGAAGGAAACCAGGTTGGGGCCAAGAAAGACATGCTACAGGTTCTGATTACCACCTTCCTATAACCAGAGTCTATCAGAGTAGCAACCTGTACCTGAGGTTGCTAGCATCTAAAGATCAGAAGATACACTCACCCCTGACCACCACCCTCCTAAGTCTGCATGTGTACAAGAATGACACAAGTCCCAAAACCAAGTTCAAAACCTGTCACCAAACTGATAAACTCAGAGATAGTATCTATTTGGCCGTTTCCAGAAGTCTGATGTCTCTGTGGCTGTACTCTCCAAGTTGCTGCCTAGGATTCAAGGAGTTAAACTCGTGAATTTAGTTTACCTAAATTCTTCTAATCCAGACTCAGTCCTTGACATATGAAGCACTTTTAGGTACAGAATAAGAAGGAAGCTTTTTGGGTGATAGTTTGTGTTCTTTTTTTCTTTTTTTTTTAGTCTAGCCTCATAATTCAGGCTGCATTTTGGCATTCTAGTTCTTTAAAATGTTATCTTCAAATATAGTCTAACATAACCAATTCATAGTAAAGGCAAGGAGGCCTTTCAGTTGTTCACAAGTCTAAATTTTAAAACTTAACCGTATTTTATATTTAGAGGATCTGTTTGAATAGGTCTATAAGCGAGCATATTTGTTTATAATTTGTTTACAATGGTATCTCAGAAGTGCTTAGTTATTTCTCTTTAGTCATATTAACATTCCCCCACATATTTTAGCACCGTTACTTAATTAGCAAACCCTTACTTTATAAGTAATGCTTCAACATCTATTATCTGCAATATCACAAATTCCAAATCAGTAAAGTCTGAATTAATGTTGGATACACTTAGAAATTTTCCTCTTCTTTTTGTAAACGTCATTCAATTCTATTATATTTATTCTAGAGGAGTTTTGTAAGACAAAATACTTTTCATTTTAACCTAAAGAATTAAATTGATCCCCTCACTTCTCTTTTATGCAGTTACTTGAGAAAGATCCAAGAAAACGATTGGGCTGCAAAGGAGAGGGAGCTGCTGGCGTGAAACTGCATCCTATTTTCAGGGACATTAACTTCAAGAGACTGGAAGCAAACATGTTAGAACCCCCTTTCTCCCCTGATGTAAGTATAAAACCTTGAAAACCTTGCTTAGAACCATCATTCATCCATGAACACAAATACAGCACTGCATTGAAAATAGACCTCTCCCCTTATGTAGACTGCTCCCCTAAAATGAGTTCTTTCCAAGGAGAAAAAAGCATACATTGAAAAATACCCAAAATTGACGTATTAAAAAATAACTATGCATATATATTTACTTTGAAAGCTTAATTTTTTTTTCAATTCAGATAGATTTGCTTCATCCTTATCATGCTTCTTGTCTTTCTTACTTTTGTCATTATTTTCCTCCTGAGCCAGAAACACATGGGTTCATGTCCTTACCTGTGTGACCCTGGGCAATTCCCTAAGACTGTAAGTTGCAGAGAAAGTGATGACCTGATTTGTGGGGGAGAGGTTTCCTCAACTGGAATTTCCCTCTACTGGACTAAGCCCTATCCCTATTAATAGTAATAACTAGTATTCATATAGTACTTTAAAATGTAGAAAGTATTTACATTCATTATTACTATAATAGAATTTAATCCTTTTTAACAGTAGTAGGGGGAAAAAAAGCAATAGTGGGATCACATGCATCAGTTGAAGTGAAAACAATCTTTAGACATTTTAAACTAGATAAAGCTTAGCTATTTCTACTTCATACTTCATGACTTTTTCTTATCTTTGTTATCAGTGTTCCCCTTAGCATTCTAAAGACTTCTCATATAGCAAAAGAAATAAAGCATGTTGCATCAATGACACAGGTTGGTCCTTTTAGGTATTGCTAAATTCTGGTCCTTTTATAATGATTAAGTTTTTTTCTCTTATTTTATTTGATAAAATGAAGGCTTCTTAAATGGTTAAATGCTGACTGTAGGATGTGATTTCCCTTGAAGAGAAAAATTTGTTTTCGTATTAAATCCCAAAAGAGAGTTCTAAAACTGATGTCAACAAAGGTAATGTCATTGGCTAGCAAAGTGGAGGAGAGAGAGCACAGAGGTTAAGTCTGAGGCCTGAAGTTCACTTACCATCTGGGCTACTTTATTATATGACCTTAGGTGAGTTTCTGGCCCTTAATTTTCTCATTTGTGAAACGAGGAGATTGGACTAAATGATCTCTAAAATCCCTTCCAACTCCAAATCTACAATCGTATGAATAAATGTGTCACCTTTCAAAGTGACTTATTTGAAGAGGACAGCATTCTTATTGCCATGATGAAGAAGGCAGGGCAATTGATGTGTGGCTTGGTAAGGCAGCAGCAGTTGTCAGTCTCCCTAACAAGGGCAGTAATCTCCCTTTCATTCTTTTTTTTTTTTTGGTGAGGCAATTGGGGTTAAGTGACTTGCCCAGGGTCACACAGCTAGTAAATGTCAGGTGTTTGGTCTGAGGCTAGATTTGAACTCAGGTCCTCCTGACTTCAGGGCCGGTGCTCTATCCACTGCGCCACCTACCTGCCCCTCTCCCTTTCATTCTTAAGCAGCACATAAAAGCAGGAAGACCCAGACCCCCTGGATTGGTGGTCTCACCTACTATACTTGTAGTATAATGCTCGCCTCTGTCCCTTCCTCCCCTAACAAAGCAGGAAGCAGGGGAGGGCCAGTATTGAGCCTCCTCACCCCCAAATTCTGGATATCCCCAACCTGCAGCAGCTGCCAAGGATCAGAAGCTACACTGATCCCTAACCACCAGCATTCCTCCTCCTGAATGCTACCCTCCCTCCCTCCCCCCCCACCCCTTTCTCAACTGCTCCTTGCTTCTCATCCTTTGCCTTAGATCTCCACCTCTCAACTGAAACTCTTTTCTCCAGGGTTACTAATCATTTATTAGTCGCTAAATCCAGCAGCCTCTTCTCAGCCCTCATCCTTCTTGACCTCTTTACGGCCTTTGACACTACTGACAATTCCCTCTTCATGGGCACTCTCACCTGCCTGCAGTTCTTGATAGTGTTTTTTCCTGGTTTGCCTCCTGCCTCGCTCAGTGTTCTGTTCCTTCCCAGTCTTCCTTTGCTGGATCATCACCCAGGTACTGTCCCTTGTCTGTTTGTATTGCAGAGTTCTGTTCTCACTGTCAGTGATTTCATTAGCGTCCGTGGGTTCAAATCTATGGAACAAAAGCACCACTTTCTAACCCAGATGCTTCTTTCTTAGGTGGCTGATAAGTCTGTCAGCATCATTCCTTTTGTAAGAAACACCAGTGCCTCCATCTTGCCTCTAGGATAAAATACAAGCTCTTCTGCTGGACATTGAAAAAGCCCTTCGCAGGCTAGCACTGATTTATTCCCTGTTGCTGCCCCTTGGAGGCCATGCACTCCAACCATGGATCTTGTTTGCTTTCCCTGCGTGAAGGTTCCATCTTCTCTCCCTGAGTCACTGCACAGGCCCTCCCCAGTACCTGCCATGTTCTGCCTCCTTTCACCCCTTTAGAATTGCTCCCCTCCTGACAGCTCAGTGCGTGCCAATGCCACATACAAGGCAGTATACCTGCCAAGTCTATAAGTACTTCCTACACCCCACCAAGAATTACTGTTTACGTTGTATTTGTTTTGCATTTACTTATTTGTGTACGTGCTGTTTTCCCCCAGTAGCGTACAATTTCCTCATGGACAGCATCTGTTTCCGTTTTATTTTTGTATTCCCAGCACCTAGTACAATATCTGGCACATATATATGCTTAATAAAAACTTGTTATGGTTGAAGTTCACAGCCTTTCTCTTGATGACATCAGTTATCTCTATATTGATGACTCTCCTAGTTTCCTAGTTTCTTGAATTCTAGCCCTTCATTATCAAAAGAGGAACATTTCCACCTATATATGTGTCCTGTATGTCAAATGTCCTTTGGACATTTCCTGCCTCCGCAAGCTATCCTCTCGCTACGCTTCCCTATTTCTATTGGGGGGTGGAGGCAGTTCCCCCATCTCATTAGACATCTGTGTTCATAACCTTAGGGTCAGCTTTGATCCTTCCGTTGCCCCTACCCACCATATGTCGTCAGTTGCCAAGTCTTAATCTACCTTCACACTATCCTTTACGTCTACCCCTCTCTGTCCAAGTATACATCTGCTATCCTAGTGAGACCTTCCTTACCTCTTGTTTTGACAATTATAATAACCTCCTAATTGATCTCTCTGCTTTAAGTGCATTTTCACAAGCCATCCCCCTGTGCTTGCAATACACTACCTACTCATCTTGTCTTTCAGGATTCCTTTATAAGCCCTCTTCCTCACACACTCCTTCCATTTGTTGCAATCCCAGAAATCTTGCTCCCCCAACATCCCTGATTGTCCTTCAGTGCAAAGGATACACACCTCCTGTACCTTGTCTTCCCCTACCCCCTTGAGCCAGTAGGAAGAAACAAGCATATTCCTTTCTCTCCACTGCCACTTGTACATCTTCCCTTGAAAAACACGAAAAATCCCTGCCTTCAAGGGGCTTTTATTGAGGGGGAGGGGGAATGACATATTTGCATATCAGCCCCGGAAACTGGACTGAGGAGAAGAGGGTACATCGAGATGTGTCTTATGTAGAAGGGGGCCCTTGAGCAGAGCTTGGAAGGAAGTTGTGGACTCTGTGAGGTGGAGGTGAGAAGAAAGGGTATTTCAGACAAAGAGAGCAGCCTGCCCTAAGGCACAGCTGGGGGAGAAGAAATGACACATCAGTTTGGCTGGAAAGTGAAGTGTGTGCAAGAATAGCGTGCAGTAAGCCTGGGAAGAGAAGTTGGAGCCAGACTGAGAGCAGCTTTAAATTCCAAACAGAAGAGTTTATGTTTTGTCCTAGAGGTCAGAGGCAGCTTCCTGTGTCAGGGAGGGGCATGGTCAGACCTTGTTTTAGGAATGTCAGCTGGCAGCTGTGAGGAGGATTGTTTAGAAGGGGGAGAGACTGAGGTCCGCAGATCTGTTAGGAGGCTCCTGCAGCGTTCTAGGGGAGAAGTGATGAACGCCAGGACTAGGGTTGTGGCCATGGGACCTATTGATGGGGGCCAGAGGCTAGAGTTGTAGAGGCAGATTGGTGGAGGAAGAGAAAGAGCTAAGGGTGGCATGAAGGCTCCGAAGTGAAGTAACTAGATGTATTTAGCCTCAAGAAGAGCAGTCTCAGGGAACTTGGTAGCTGTGTTCACATATTTTAGGGGGCAAAGGTTATAGAGGGAGGGGTTTGACTTGTTCTGTTTGGCCCCCTAAACAAAAACAAAAATAATAGGTGGAAGTTGCAAAGAGGCCAATATAAGTTAGAGATCAGAACAGTCAGAGCTGCCCAGAAGTGAAATGGGCTGCCTCAAGTGTGCTGGGTTCCAGAGGCTTGGGCAGGGGTTGGGGGTGGAGGGTGTTGTAATGGGGTTTAGATCTGACTGGATGATGCCGAGGTCTCTTTGAGCTAACAAACTCTGGTTTTGTGGAAGGATCTGGTGCCCTCCACAGAAATAGTGAAGTTAGGAACAAGAGAAGTTGTTTAGGCTAAGTTCTGAGTCCTCTGTAGTAAACGATGAATTTCAGATGTGCAAACGTTGAGGCCGGACATCCACACCCATCTTTGAGTTGCACAAACACCTCCTCCCCGTCTTGTGTTATATTTGTCTTATAAGGAGCCTTCAGGGCAGGGGCAACTTTACTTTTATCTCTCCATCCAAAGCGTGCTTTACTTGTGCTGAAAGAATCGCAGCCTCCTCTCATGGATCATGAGCATCAGTGGAATTTTCCTTCAAAACATCATTTCGTTATTAACAGTTTTCTTTTTAAAAATACAGTATGTAGCCAAAACTTCCAAATATTTGTTAAACTTGCATCTGAATTCATGCTCTTTTGTGGGTGGAAGAGATGTATTTCTGCCATGGAGGCCATCTGTTTCAGTGGCTCTGGATAGTTCTCAACTCTGATTTCCGGGTTCATTTTCCATGCCACCTAATCCCAGAAACATAGACAAAGTAAGGCAATGTCTTTTCCTCCAATCTGAGCCTCAGTTTCTTTATATGTAAAATGAGAGCATTAGGTCAGATCTCTTAAAGAGTCTTTCAGTTTCATTCAATTCAATAAACATAGGGTGATGCAGTGGATGGAGCACTGGGCCTGGACTCAGGAAGACCTGAGTTCAAATCCAGGCTCTGACAGTAGCTTTGTGACCCTGGGCAAGTGACTTGACCTCTGTTCATCTCAGTTTCCTTTGCTGTAAAATAGGGACAATAATAGCACCTACTTCACAGTTGTTGTGTGCATCAAATAAAAGTGCTTACCATGATGCCTGGTACATAGAGTAGGAACTTTGCTAGTTTCCTTCCCTTTCCTTCCTTTCCCTACACATGAAAGGCACTCTACCAGTTGCTGGGGATATAATAATAGATATAACACAAAAGCTCTCATGGCACTTTTATCCTAATATGACAAAGAAATGGACACAAATAGCTGTTGTAAAGGAGAGTGAAATAAGTGCAGAAGAAAGATCTAGATAAAGTTTTGGGGGAAATTTGAAGAAAAAGATCACTTTCAAATGGGGGAGGCTGGGCATGCTTCCTGGAGTCGTTAGAATCTGAGCTGAGCCCTGAGAGGACAACAGAGAGCTAGAGGAGGTTGGAGCTCATTTTAGACACTGTAAAAAGGTGCAGGAAAGGAGAGAATAAGATTATTGGATGAATGAAAGTCTCGTTTGACAAGTACATCTGTTAGGTGAAAGGAAGAGTAGATAGGGACTAGTTGTAGAAGCTTTGAAGAACCATTTATACTTTGTTCAGTAGGCTATAGGGACTCACTGAATGTTTTTGTGAGGAAGAATGACGTATCAGAGTGGCACAAAGATTACTAGGGTCACTCTGTGAAGGATGGATTGGAAAGGAGAGAAGACAAGTCCAGAAATGATTTAGAAAGCTATTTATTTCAGTAACCGAAGCAACAAGGAGTCCTTGAGGGCCTCATATAAAGGAGGAGTCCTCTTGCATACATGCAAAAGAGTCTGAACAAACTTCTCGGAAGAAGAAATTCAAATGTTTGATACCCATATAAAAATGTTTCAGACTAATAGTAATAAGACAAATGTAAACAAATTTAAACAACTCTGAGTTTTACTTCACACCCACCAAATCGGTAAAGACATTAAGGACTGAAGGAATAAATGCTGAAAGGCCTGTGGGAAGTCAGGAGCATTAATGATACTCTTTTGGTGGATCTGTGAATCCATTCAGCTTTTCTGGAAAGCAATTTGGAATTAAATGAGAAGTCCCTCAACTTTTTATATCCCTTGATCATATAGCACCATTGATAGAAAGGGAAATCTCATATGAATGAATGGGGAGGAGAGCCTTTACTAATCACTTACTCTGTGCTAGCACCACGCTGTGCTAAGCACTAGGAATACAGCTAGAGAAACAAGACAGTCTGTCCTCTTAAGAAGGTCATACAGTAATTGGGGAGGCAAGAGGGGAGAGGACAAGGATGCCACCCAGGAAGGTTCAGCTAATGAAAGGCTAATGGAAGACACAGTAGCACCTAAGGTGTGGCACGTGGCAAGTCCCAGAGTATTCAGTGGTAGAGCATATAGTAAAACTAGGTAATTCAGAGAGCATAGTAGCATAATGCCTAGGTATTCATGGTGTTGGTAATAGATTTCCTGCTCTTGAAATTATATAAATGCCATATCTGCCTTGCCTATGACCACTGGGAAATGGGCCCAAGTATCCGAGTAGAGTAGACCTCTTCCAACCCCAGTGGAAATGGCATTGGGTGGGCAAGGGGGTGTTTAACATTCAGCCAGAAGAGGGAAAAGGGAAAGGTACTCTTTATCCAAAAAAAAAAAAAAAGGAACACAGATGCCCACATTTAGGTAATGACTAAACAAATTGTGTTATAGTAATATAATAAAATATTATCGTGCTATAAGAAATGATGAATATGAGGAATTTATAAACATATAGAAAGATTTAAACTAAAACCACAAAAAAAAGAAGTCAAATTCAATTAATTCAACGTCCAGTTTTGGTCCCTTTCAGTAGAGGGGCATAATGTGGCATTGTTCTCATCCATGGTCACTTTATAATTTTGATTTGCTGTGCTGTTTTATTTTGTTACGAGGGTGGATTTAATGAGTATATGGGGAATACTGTGGGAAAGGACTATGGTGCAAAAATGAAAAGACATCAATAAAATTTTAAAAATAAATAGCATATAAGTGTCTTGTTGATGGTGATTAGACCACCTAAAAAAACACATGGCAACAATATATCTGAATATGGAAAGTAATGCTTATGTATATTTATAGCTATATAAACATATTTTTTAAACAGTCATTCATCTTCATGAATAGCTTAGGTTTCTCGATACAGGGTTTACTCAGTTTCCTTTGCAGTTTTGAAGAGAAGAGTTCATGGTATTCAGAGCCCTAGATGACTTGTCCTCAAATTCCTTACTGTGGGGAGCCATGCTAGTGGCACATTATGGACTTCCCTCACCCTTCCAGCTCCAGAATTTCCTCCTACTCAGCTTGAGGTTGCATATCAGTCTGAAGAACAGGCCTACTCATCAGTTCCCTACTGAAGATCAGAGGACTCAGCTTGCTGCTGAGGATGATTCTAAAGCTCCTCTGCTTAATGGGTAGAAACTACCAGAGGGGGGACTTCAGTTTTACCCCAGATGCACTTATTTACTAGTGCTGAAATATACTGAAGTTTCTTAACAAATATGCCAGTTTCTTAACAAAACAACATCAAGTTAACTTTCTTAAACATTAGTACCAGGACCCTCAAGATGTGGTCTACAGACTGCTCTTGCTCCATAGGTGCTGCTTCATGCCAGAGGAGAATGTGTTGGTGGGGCCACTGGGTTCTCTGCTAGTTCGAGGAGAAACAGTCAAAATGGAGACTGTTTGCCATAGATTAAACACAGCTTGAGAGCACTGGTCACAGTTTGTATAAAGAGTGAGCCATAGCATATCAAGAAAGAAAGCAGGAGTGAGCATGATGGAGATCCCTTCTCCCCCACATTGGACATCACACCTTTTGCCGCCTATAGTCCTGCTAACTATGAGAGCTGTCCAAAAATGCAAAGGTCTACATAGGCAGATGATGAATTCTTAAGAGTAGAGCTAAATAATTATCAAATAGGTATGTTGTAGAGGGAATTAATACTACAAGTGGACTTCTGAAGTTTTACTTAATGATTCTAAACCTTACCCACCCTTCCTACTTCTCTTCCATCTATAGGGAAAAAAAGTCAAGAGTCAGAGGCCATGCTCTACAAGAGGTTTAAATGCGGTGGCAAGTGAGTGGGAGATAATATCCTAGGTCTCAGAGAGACTAAAAATTAGAAATGAGGGGAAAAAATGGCATTTTTCCCCCCACTTAATAGTACTTTATTTTTTCTGATTACATATAAAGATAGTTTTCAACATTCACTTTTATAAGATTTTGAGTTCCAAATTTTTTCCTCCCTCCCCTCCCCCCTCTTCAAGACAGCAAGCAATCTGATACAGGCTATACATGTACAGTCATATTAAACATATTTCCATATTGGTCATGTTGTGAAAGAAGAACCAGAACAAAAGGGGAAAACTATGAGAAAGAAAAAAATCAGTATGCATCAATCTGCATTCGGGCTCCACAGTTCTTTCTCTGGATGTGGAGAGCATTTTCTGTCATGAGCCTTTTGTAATTGTCTTAGATAATTGTATTGCTGAGAAGAGCTAAGTCTATCAAATTTGATCATCTCACAGTGTTGCTTTTACTATATACAGTGTTCTCCTGGTTCTTCTCACTTCACTCTGCATCAGTTCGTGTAAGTCTTTCCAGGTTTTTCTGAAATCTGCCTGCTCATCATTTCTTATAGCAATAGTATTCCATTACATTCATATACCACAGTTTGTTTATCCATTCCCCAATTAATGGATATCCCCTCAAATTCTAATTCTTTGCCACCCCAAAAAGAGCTACTATAAATATTTTTGTAAATGTGGATCCTTTTCCATTTTTTATGATCTCTTTGGGATATAGACCTAGTAGTAGTATTGCTGGAACAAAGGGTATGTGCAGAAAAACCAGCGTTTCTAATTAGAGAATTGATTTCTTTGTACCATTTAGATCACCGTAGAAGAGCATTAGGTAAATTGTGTGAAATTTTGCTGCAGCTTGAAAGTGAATTATTTTTAAAAATACATATATATTTTATATTCAAAATATGTTAGTTCAAGATAAGCAAAGCAATTATGCAAATATTAAAGACTTTCTTCTCTTTCTATACACAGCCACGTGCAGTATATTGTAAGGATGTTTTGGATATTGAGCAGTTCTCGACAGTAAAAGGAGTGAACCTGGATACTACAGATGATGATTTCTATTCCAAATTTGTTACAGGCTGTGTCTCCATCCCCTGGCAAAATGAGGTACTGTACCCTTAATTTAGGTCACTTTAATAACTATAAATGAAGGGAAAATGTTAATTTATCTTAAAATTTCTTTTATCCAACTTATATCACCAGAGGGGTAGGGGCAGGAGGTATACCAAATCTGTAACCATGAGAGTGCCACAGTTAGCAATTGACTAGAAACATGAAAGCTTCATTTACTGTAGTTTGTATAAATTGGAGCAGATGGTGGCCATCTGTTTGCTTAGCTCAGGATGATGGAGAATTGCCCACAGAACCTGTAGGCTCTCTAAGGCTTATTTCTACAGTGAAGACCAGGAGTCCATGTGATATCGTTGTCTTCCTCGTGGGTATATGTGTTCCCTGTTCAAAAGTGCACCATTATTGATGAGACAGAAAGAGAGAGCGATTTGTATCTAGGTAAATAATTTAGTGTAATTGTGAGGAAACAGTATAATCTTTTATTAATGTTTTTCAAATGATTCCAGAGAGATTTTACACCAACCTTATCTATATTGGTATATACATTTTTATTTTATTTATACAGTTAAGGAAATGCTCTTTGTGAAACCATAGAAAATAGGAAATAACAGAGGAAGAAATTTAAAGGACTTCAATTCCACAAATATTTATGAAGGATATGCAAAGAACTATGCCAAGTTCTTTGGGACAAGCTCTCTATACCTTTCTTAATTGTAATTAATTAATGAGAAACATTAATGGGAAATACAATCATTAAATAAGACAGCAGCTATGCTTTGGGAGGCAGCAAGGGTTTAAATCTGGCTCTGATACTTAGTAGCTGTGTGCTTTTGGATAAATCACTTAAGTTCCCTGACCTTAGTTTCCATATGTATAAAATGAGTATAAACTAGATGACCTGTCATTTCTTTGATGAAATATATGATCATATGATTCTTTTTTTGCTTTTTGGTGAGGCAGCCAGGGTTAAGTGACTTGCCCAAGGTCACACAGCTAGTAAGTGTCAAGTGTCTGAGGTCAGATTTGAACTCAGGTCCTCCTGACTCCAAGGCTCTGTCCACTGTACCACCTAGCTGCCTTTGATTATGTGATTCTTACAGAGCTTTCAGTCAAGTAGAGGGGAATGCTTACATATACACTAGTAATTGTAATACAAAATAGAATGGAATATAAATCCACAAGAGAGATACTCTTTAGTGAAGATTGTTTCCATTTGGGAGAATCAGGAAGAGGTAGCGTTTGTTGTAGTCTTTGAGGATGGGGTAAGAGTTCAGCTAGCTGTCAAGATGAAGGAAGAGGATTTCAGGAATAGAGACTACTCTGAACAGAGACCCCAAAGTGTGACATTGTTGAATGTATATAAGGGACAGTGAAAAATCTGTTTTGACTAGAGCAAGCATCAGCAGTCTTTTTTAAGGGAGAACAAGTTCTGAGCTTTAATAGCTTTAAATTGTACTAAGACTTCTGGTACACTTTTTTTTTTCAGTAAATACATTAATACAATAGAGGAGGCATGCATGCATAGTGAATAGAGAACCTGCCTCAAAGTCTGGAAGACTTGGGTTTAATTCTTGCCTCTGACACGTACTATTGTTATTGTACTATTAGTACACTTAAGAAGTCTGTGGCAGGTCATGTAATGTCTTGGTGGTCCAGCTTCTCTCTGGGACTATGAATGAGCGGCAAAGCAGTTGAAGATCTATATTGGTAGAAAGTGGTTCCTCACCAGGAGTATCCAATACCAATGAAGTTATAGGTTTGGTCCAAAAAAAAAGGTCTAGAAAGACATAATGATTTGTTTCTGGAAAGGTCCGTGTTAGAAAGAACAAGTGGTGAGAGAACCCTTAAGAGCTGCTATAGCCTTCTTTCATTAACACATCATTATGATGTTTCTCATCAATTAATTACAATTAAAGAAGGTAGAGCTTGTCCCTAAGAGCAGTCGTGTCAAACTCAAATAGAAACCAGGATCACTAATCCACACATAAAGATCCCTCAAAGCAGCATATTGAGTTAGTTTTAAAGTATAATGTTATCTGCTTTTTATTGTATTTGTATTTATTTTGATTTCCCAATTTGCATTTTAATCTGGTTCAGCTGTACTGCAGAGTTGCCTACTTGTTTTACACTTCAGCCTAAGAGAATAAGGATGGGACAAGAATGAAAGGAGGGAATCATAGCCAGAGAATATCATGGGAATTACTGAATAGAGACAACCACTACAGACAGGAGGCTGAAGTAGGCACTGTAATTTGAGGGTGGGGAATGGGAGTGTTCTGTGCTTTATTTTAAACTAATGCTAAGTTATAAATTGGATTATTCCACTTAGTTGTATGTGGAGAGAGAGCAGGGCTTGAGAATAAGCCTTAGTTTATTTTTCAACTCAGTTCTTAAGACATTTGAAGATTAACTAGATTGATCAGCACAGAGATTCAGATTTATTTGATAATTTAGGATAACAGAACCATAGGTTACATACCCTTTGGTTGAGTATAACCAGTGGAAGGGAGTATTAATAGAAATAGCTGGAAAGGTTTGATCAGGGCAGGTGGTAGTGGACCTTAAATGCTAAACTAAGAAGTTTGAATGTTATTCATTATGCATTAAGAAATTATTGAAGAGTGTTGATCAGAGTGACCTGATTACATCTGGCCTAATAAAAATTAATTAAGTAATGAGACAAAGGATGGATTGGGATAGAGAGACCAGTTAAGAAGCAATTGCGATTGTTCAGGTGGAGAGTAACAAGAGTCTCACAGGAGTGGGCCCGCCCAATATTTAGTTAAGAGTGCCAGAATCTTACTCAGTGGCTTGGGGATTTATGTCTACAAAACTCATTTTTGCTTTGCGGTTTATCATGATCATTTTTTTTCTGTTACCTCTCTTTTGGATGCAGATGATTGAAACAGAATGTTTCAAAGACATCAATGTATATGAAAATGACAAATTGACATCAGATCTAGATCTTAACAAGCTTACTCCGAGACCAAAGAGAGGCTTCTTCCATAGACTCTTCAGAAGAGGGGTAAAAATCTTCTCCTGGGATAGTTTTCTTTAAGTATTAAAACCAAAAATGTGTCTTACTAAGCATTTGGAAATAGTAGTTATTTTTCTTTGAACTTTTAAAAAAATGTACCCTTTATAAGAAAATCAAAGTTCAAACATCGTTTTAATAAATAATCAGTGCTATGCCCAGTTGAAGTCTGCAGTTATGATTTGCATAAAGACTGTAGACTGACACTGTACTATAATTAGACATTGCATAATAGTTAAGGGTTACTGACGTCCTACCTAAAATGTTCTTACCCTATAGAAGAAGAACTAAAGCAGAAATCATTAAATATACAATTATTTTTTAAAATAAATTGTTTTTTTAATTACCAATTTTTGTAATGCTTGTAAATTATCTAACATTTAAAATTGCTGAATGGCTGTATTATTGGACCCTTTAAGTCACTTCTGCGAGAAAGATTTTTTTGAAAACGAGAAATTACTGATTGTCACGTGTAAGAGAATTTCTATTGTATTGAATTTAGAAATTGTAATTCCCAAGTGAAGGTTTTTCTCTTTGGACCAATGTAAAATATTTTTTTTAATAACTTTGGATTCATCATTTCATCAGTGTAGACTTTATTCACAATGTGATTTTTAAGCATGCCCTTCTGTAAGCCTGAAAATCCATCCTAAGCGTTAGAGGCCTGGTCCTCATTACATATTATGGATACCACTGTAGAACTGATAAGCTGTTTTTATAATCTGTTATATTTAAATTTGACTCGCAAACTTCATTGTAGAAAGAAACCAAAGGTCATTATTAATACTACAGTCACTATAAGGATAAAAACAAAGTCCTTGGTCCTAGGAATTTTTGGGAACTGTATTTTTCCATGATTAAAATTGCTACATGCATGGATACCAAATTATATTTACCGGGAGAAATTCTCATTCACAATCCGCTGTTTGGTCTGGTGTGCTCCTAACATGAAATATTTTTCAAAGTTTAAATTAGACTACTTTAATAAGTATAGCATTTCCATATCTCATACATAAAGAGCTGAATGTTTAAAAAAATGTTACTATTGTTAAAAAAAATCTACACCAAAATGTAATTGTTGTATATTATTTTAACCAATCAAATGTGTAAGTTTGGCTAACCTATAAAAGTAAATGGAATTAAAAAAAACATGTAATGAAGCTGAGCCTTTTCTGTTGTGAATGGCTTATTTTATGTACCTGCTCATTGTGAGGAGAATAATGGACGAGTTCAAGTAAACTAGGAGAAAATGAGCTTTTTCATCTTAAAATTGTAAAGATGAAAATTGTCTCAACCTGAAGCCATATTGGAAAATTGCTCAATATGCCTTAGAATTTAAGTTCTAGTTAGTTGGCATTGAAACATTAATTAAAACAGCCAATCTGCTTTTTTTTTGCAGGTCTGTTTTAAATCTGGTTACAGCGATGATGAAGAAGAGCCAACAAGACTTTAAACCACTGTATAGCAGCCAAAAAGCCAAATGCAAAGAATGAGTAAATTCTGAATATTTTACTGTATCTATGAACTGTAATAAAAATTTTATTATAAATTTTAAAACATTCTGTATGAGCTTACAGATTTTGTACATTTGTACCTAAATTATGTTCAGATGTATATTTTCACTAAAGTTGTATTGAAGAAAAAGCCATAAAATACCATTTTGGTGTAATACATTTATTGTTATGTATTCCAAGACGTATATAGAGATAGCCATGTCTGAGTACATGTGAGGTATGTGTATGTTGACTGAAATGAGTTGGGAAATGAGTATAAATATGCATTTGGTGGGAGGATCAACTTAAATCACAAGTTATTATTTATGATTGCTCAGAATCTTTATTGAACTTATATGCAATAGCAGGAAATGGCATTAACTTCCTGGATTTGTACTGATTTCTAGGACATGGGGAAAAGATTTACTATTCCTCTTCTCAGGGTGCATTCAAAAGTACAAAAATAAAATCACTTTATAGTTATAGGGGGAGCCATGAATGTTGTACAGTATCTTTTTTTTTTTATTAATGTAGCACAGTTCTTTCAGAGGTTTATTTTTATTCCTTCTTCAGCTGTGCTGTTGTGAATTCACATATACATCTGCCCAGATAGATCTGGTATCTCTATTGCCTTTCTTATACGAATATATTTTACCTTCATACTGTTGATATTTGTGTGGCTGGTTATGGCTTTCTGCTAGACTATATTTATCTACTTATTGAAAGATTGTGTGGTTTCCTGTGACTCTGGAGTCGCATCCTTGGCAGCCATTAAGAGGGTGCTAACCAAGTGCTGAACTATTCAAAAATGTGTTTTATTAAAGTAGCATTTTGGGTATTTTGGTTCCTCTGTTTGCAGCTGGATATAAAGTTCTTAACAGTGTAAATAAAGACTTGCTTTTATGTTTCATAAGGAGGGGGAAAAAAGAGGCAAGTGACAGGGGAGAGAATCCCAAAACAGTAGTTCTGAAAAGTATGTTATAGCAGCCTGTATAGCAACCAAGGCTACCACTGTAAACGTAAAATAAACGTCACGTAAAGGTGCTCCAGCTTGCTACAACACTCACTTTACTAATAAGAAACTCAGCTTTTCATAAATTAATACTGCAGCAAGATATGTGATACCCAAATTAATGATATAATTGGGATAAAACTTGAAAGACTATTGTGCCAGGAAGATTTCTCATAGAATTTTTTTTAATATTTTATTTTTTCACAATTCCACATAAAAACAATTTTAGCATTCTTTTTTCAAATGCTCTCCTTTTCTCCTTCCCCTGTTCCCTCACTGAGAGGGCAAAAAGTATAATATAATATAGGTGATAGATGTGCAGTAATGCAAAACATTTTTCTGTATTAGTTAAGTTGTGAAAGAAAACACAGATCAAAAATTAAAGAAAGTTTTAAAAAGTATGATTCAACCTGCATTCAGACTCCATCAGTTCTTTCTTTGGACTTGGATAGCATTTTTCATCATAAGTCCTTTGGAGCTGTCTTAGATCATTGTATTGCTGAGAATAGCCAAGTCATTCACAGTTGATCATCATATAATATTGCTGTTACTGTGTACACTGTTCTCCTAGTCCTGCTCACTTCACTTTGTATCAGTTCATGTAAGTCTTTCCTTATTTTTCTGAGAGCATTCTGCTTGTTATTTCTTATAGCATAATAGTATTCCATCATAATCATATACAACAACTTGTTCAGCCATTCCCCAATTGATGAGCATCCCATCAATTTCCAATTCTTTGCCACCATACAAAGAGCTGCTGTAAATATTTTCGTACAAATAGATCCCTTCCCTTTTTGGTTTTATCTCTTTGCAATACAAACCTAGCAGTAGCATTGCTGGGTCAAAGGGTTTGCACAGTTTTATAGCCCCTTGGGCATAGTTCCAAATTACTGGCCTGAGTGTCTGAATCAGTTTACACCTTGACCAATAGTACATTGTGTTTCAATTTTTTCAAGTTACCTCCAACGTTGGTCATTTTCCTTTTGAAATGACTATGGATAGCTTTTATTACTTCATAAGAAAACTGCCTATTCATATCCTGTGGCCATTTGTCCATTGGAATGACTTGTATTCTTATAAATCTGACTCAGATTTTTGAGAATATATTTGAGAAATAAGGCCTTTATCAGAGAAGCTTGATATAAATTTTTTTCAGTTATAATTACTTGTGTATTTTCCTCCATCTTATTTTCCCCCATGTTTATCCTACTCTTTTCACCCTGTCCATTCTCAAAAATGTTTTGCTTCCTACTGCTGCCTCCCCCAATCCTCCTTCTCTTCTATCAGCTCCTCACCCCTTCTTTTATCCCTTTCCACTACTACTTTCCTGTAGGGTAAGGTAGATTTCTATATCCAACTGAGTGTGTATGGTATTCCCTCTTTGGTTGAATTCCAATGAGAGGAATGTTCAAGTCCTCCCCCTGATCTCCTATTATATTCAACTCATACCTGTACCCTCTGTCTATGCATATTCCTTCTAACTGCCCTAATAATGAGAAAGTTCTTAGAGGAGTTACAAATATCGTCTTCCCATGTAGGAATGTAAACAGTTTAACCTTACTGAATCCCTTATGATTTCTCTTTCCTTTTTACCTTTTTATACTTCTCTTGAGACTTGTATTTGAAAGTCAAATTTTCTATTCAGCTTTGATCTTTCCATCGGGAATGCTTAAAAGTCCTATGTCATTAAATGGGCATTTTCCCCACTGAAAACTGACTACCCAGTTATGCTGAGTAGGTGCTTCTTGGTTGTAATCCTAGCTTAACATCATTTTCCAAGACCTCTGATCCTTTAATGTAGAAGCTACTAAATCTTATGTTATCCTCACTGTGGCTCCACAATTATCTGAATTGTTTCTTTCTAGCTGCTTGCAATATTTCCTTATTGGGAGCTTAAGCTCTGAAATTTGGCTATAATATGCCTGGGAGTTTTCATTTTGGGATCTCAGGAAGTGCTTGGTGGATGCTTTTGATTTCTCTTTTATTCTCTGAATCTAAGATATTGGGGCAGTTTTCCTTGCTAATTCTTGAAAATATGGTGTCTTAGGGGCAGCTAGGTGATGCAGTGGATAGAGCACTGGCCCTGAAGTAAGGAGGACCTGAGTTCAAATCCGGCCTCAAACCAAAACACTTCGCACTTCCTAGCTGTGTGACCCTGGGCAAGTCATTTAACCCCAATTGCCTTAAAAAAAAGAAAGAAAGAAAGAAAAGAAATATGATGTCTTGGCTCTTTTTTTGATTATGGCTTTCGGGTAGTCCAGTAATTCTCAAATGATCTCACCTCAGTATGTTTCCAGGTCAGTTTTTCCAATGAGATAGTTCATATTTTCTTCTATTTTTTCATTCTTTTGATTCTGTTTTGTTGTATGTCTTGTAGGGTCATTAGCTTCCCCTTGCCCAATTCTAATTTTTAAGGAATTATTTTCTTCAGCAAGCTTTTGCACTTCCTTTTCCATTTGGCCAATTCTGCTTTTTAAGGAGTTCTTCTCTTCAGTGGATTTTTGTGCATCTTTTGCCATTTCACCTATTGTGTTTTTTAAGGTGTTATATTGTTCAATGGTTTGGGGGTTTTTTTTTCTGTGCCTCCTTTACCAAGCTGTTGATTCTTTTTGCATGATTTTCTTGCTTCAATCTAACTTCTTTTCTTAATTTTTCCTCTACTTCTCTAATTTGATGTTTAAAAATCCTTTTTGTGCTCTTCTTTTGGGCCTGAGACCAATTCACATTTTCTTTGAGGTTTTGGATGTAGAAGTTTGGATTCTATTGTCTTTGAGTTTGTGTTTTAGTCTTCCTTGTCACCATAGTATCTTTCTGTGGTCATGTTCTTTTTTTGTTGTTTGCTCATTTTTCCAGCCTAGACTTTTAACTTTATGTTAAAGGTGGGCTCATCTCCCAGGGTGCTGGGGGCACTGTTCCAAGACTCAGGTTTTTTGTTCAAATGTTTTCAGAGCTAGTTATGTGGGTCTGTAAGTTTTCCGTTTTTCTAAGGTGGTATGGTCTAAGGAGAGGTGTGTTTATTACCCTTGTAGCCTTCACTCTGGTCTGTAAGTAACTACAAGCACTGTTTTCCACCCTGGAACTGTCACCAGGGCCCCACTTCCCTACAACTCTAGTATGCCGGTGCTCCTCTTCACCCCAGGACTGCAGCCCAGATCCACATATGGGCAACGCAACAGAATTCTACAACAGTGCCAACAACAAAAAAAAGCCCTGTAATTCCCTTCTAACCAGTACCAAACCCTCTTACAGTCTGGACGCTGAGAGCTCCATTAGCCACTCCTGCAGATTCAGTTGACCCCAAGGCCTGCTGCTGACTTGCTGGGGGGGTTGCATGTGCTGAACTCCCATGTAACAGACCTTTCTTGCTGATCTAAGTTGTCTCGTGCTGAAACATTATTTCACCCTGTCCTTTCATGGGTTCTGCTGCTCCAGAATTAATTTTAAGTTGTTAATTTAAAGTTTTTTGGAGGGGGATTTGGGAGATAAGTCCCAGCCTTTTCTCTACCATCTTGGTTCTGCCTCCTCTCATAGGATCTTAAGAGTTTTCTGAAAAGGACTCAAAAATGTTCTCGTTTACACTTTCCAAAGCTTGAATCCCTGCTACAACAATCCCAACGAGTAGCCAGCCCATTTCTACTTGAAGAATGCCAGCAATAGGTGACTCTGCTTCTGAAGGCAACTTATCCTCCTTTGCAAAGCTCTGATCGTGAAGTTTTTTTCTTACGTTGAAGTGATATCTTTCTTTAATTTCAGCCGTTGATCCTAGTTCTTTTTTCTGTAGTTAAAGAAAACAAGTTGAATGCTTCCAAAACTCCGTTGGAACCCAAAGAATAGTAAATTAGTTTTTGGTTTTCCAATCAAATTCTTTTCATTCTGGCTACTAATATTTTTACATAAATCTGACTGAAACTTTTCCCAGCCTAAGATCTATTCAAATGGATAGATTCTACCTAGCCCAGCTCCATCCAAGCAAGTTCACTCGTTTTTATTTAATTCATTTCAACAAATGTTAAGTGCTTGATTAATAAGAAGTACTGTTTTCTCCCTAAATC